TCCCTATTACTTCACACCTCCATTTCCCCCCTCCTTATTAAACTCCGCCTCCTTTTCCACCTTCCATCTGTAGGTAGACGTGAGTCAGGGAGGCAGCGACTACCACTTTTCCTGGCGCCACGACGGAGGCAGGATGTACGAGTGGGCCTTCGGGAACCAATACTGCGCCAGCCTAGGGAAGGAATGGCACGGTGTCAGCATCGAGAGCTTGGATGAGGATAGAAGGATTTCCAGTATCGTCGCCGGAGGTTGGGAGGCCGAATCTTGTGTCTTTTTTTTTTTTTTTTTTTTGAGGGGGGGGGGTGGAGGGAGGAGGGGATGGCATCTGTGCGATTCTCGTTTGTCTTTTGGATTTTGTTTTTTTTTTCTTGTGCTTTTTCCGGTTTTTCTTTCTGTGTGTGTATGTCTCTCTGTCTCCTACCTCTCTTTGCCCTCTCTCTCTCTTCTCTCTTCTCTCTTCTCTCTCTCTCTCTCTCTCTCTCTCTCTCTCTCTCTCTCTCTGTCTCCTACCTCCTGTCTCCTCTCTCTCTATAAAAATCAGAATATAAAAGAAAATATCACAACAAAGGAAATTATAAAACAAAAATCACATAATAATATATATATATATATATATATATATATATATATATATATATATATATATATATATATATATATGTACAAAAAATAAATCCATTTCTCCGCAGACCGTATGAAATACATCTGGACCGGAGGTGTCCGCCAGAACTACAAGTGGCTGTGGCCTTCCGGGGCGGTCTTCGTCGGTCTGAACTGGTCTCCGACTGGAGGGTGAGTGGCTTAAGGCTTGGGTGTGTAGCCTATGACATGGGTGAGTGTCCAAGGCTAGTGGCTTGATACTAGGAAGAGAGAGACTTATGACAAGGTGACAGGCAGACGAAGATTCACCGACCCCTCTGTCTGACTCAGGTGAGTGCCCTATGACACAGCTAATTTACCTATGACACGGAAGAGTAGCATATGACACAGATGAGTAACTTTTGTCAGGGATGAGTGAATGGATGTTAAGGTTTTAAAGTAATTCGTCTATGTAGGAAAACTAATCTTATTTACAACATATGTGAATCGAACGTAAAGATTATGTGGATGTTACGTCTGTGAATTGACCAAGCAACTACGGATGTTATCTCAAACGTTAAATCGTTAATGAATGGCGTGAATTAATGTGATCATGTTCATAATTGTTTGTGTAAATGGTGCATATATAACATTAGTAAATGGTATTGAGTTACAGGTAAAGTGAGTGGTGTTTCATACAAGTATGAACAGGTGTGCGAGTTTTGCACAAGTCATAGTGAAAGGTATTGGCAACCTGAACTGACTTTTGTTATAAGTTAGTTGTTTGCAGTTTATATAAGTTACTGTTCCATGTTACGTATTAGAAGTAATGATGAAAATGTTTTTTTTATAGTGGTATGTGTATTTTCTAAATGATGATTCTCAAATTAGATTTTAGCTTTTATCTTCCTAAGTATTCCATTGTCTATGTGTGTTTTGGGGGTGTGTGTGTGTGTGTGTGTGTGTTTTACATTCATACATGCGTGTGCGTACATGTACTCTTGTATTTGTGTTTACATATGTGTGAAAATTAAACAGAAGATATATACGGATATGAATGTAGATACCAGATTAGTCGTATGTTTATGAACAGAGACTGAATAGTATGAAAAAGAATTGAATTATAGAACTACAACATATAATATAGATAGGTAGGTAAAGATATGAAGAACTAGATGAAGGAATAGATATTATGCACAATCTGCGGTAGACAATGCAAATATAATGTACATATAGACAAACTCACAGAAATACAGACAACCATATACAGATAAACATAGACACAGAAGAATAAACAGAGATAAACAAACAGATACAACGCACACCATACAAATACATACAAACAGACAAACAAACGGTTATTCACCTCCCCCAACCTCTCTTCTTCCAGGATGGCCGCACAGCCCGAAACCGAGGGGAGAGAAAGTGCTGTAGCAATCCTCAACAATTTCTATGATGACGGGATCCGGTGGCACGATATATGCCTGCCACATACGAGAAGCCTATTATATGGTGAGAGAATCTCCTTTGGGAATTCCTAAATGTGCGACGGCAAGTACAAATTACGGTAAGCGTGCACTGTGAGAAAGGGAAACTACAACCATAGTAAGAAAAATAGAAAAATCTGAATTGTGACGTTTGGGGATTCGTGGTGTCAAATCGTCCGAGTAAATAAAGGAGAGTAACGGTTTTGGTTTCGTCTGAGAGAGGAATTCTCGGCGAGTTCGAAGCGTTATGTTAATTTTTTTTTGGAGTTTTTCTCTTTCTTGGGGTGGGTCGAGGCGATCGGAGTTTTTCAATATCCCGGTGGTGTTCTTGAGTGTTTTTCTTATAAGAGGTCTGTGTTTGTATTCAGTGAGCTGCTCCTAATGCTTAAGTATTTGCCTTTGTTCGAGGTTCTAAGATCCTTTCCAGTTTTTATATCGAATGAACCACAGTATTATAATATATTTTTGAGTCTATAATTTACCTATATTTATATGCTTATTATATATCATATATGCTTATATTATGTATTATACAGACATGAATATCCATCACATAAAGGCATATCTGTCTACAAATAACTATCTCTTTTGACAGACATTCATCTATCTATGCTGTCTATCCGCGAGATTATGCATGTCTAGAGTGATAGATATGTACTTATTTCTGTGTATATGCCTTGTCCCTAAGATTAATATTCATCGGTGTCGGGCCCTCACATAAATTGAAAATTGGCCATTCATCTTTCTTAAATTTGTTCCTAATCTCCTGGTCTCTCTCTCTCTCTCTCTTCATATATATTATATATTTAATATATTATATTTATATATATTATATATATTATATATATATATATATATATACTAGTGTGTGTGTGTGTGTGTGTGTGTGTGTGGTGGGTGTGTGTGTGTGTGTATTGCATGTGTGTGCATTTGTACGTATATTTCTATTTATTTGTAAATCTATCTATGTCCTGTCTGTTTTTTTTCTGTCTACTCATATCTTTGTTTCTTTTCGAAAGAATGAAAAGCATTCTCTTCTCTTCTTCTCTCTCTCTCTTCTCTCTTCTTCTCTCTCCTCTCTCTCTCTTCTTCTCTTCTCTCTCTTCTCTCTTCGTTCTTCTCTCCTTCTCTTTCTCTCTATTCTTCCTCTTTCTCTCTTCTCTCTCCTCTCTCTCTCTCTCTCTCTCTCTCTCTCTCTCTCTCTCTCTCTTGTATGTATACACGAACCTTATGCAATATCAGAAAACAATAGATTCATGATATTTAATCAGTAAGTACTTGAACGTATCATTACTTATTCATGCCATAAATATTTCATTCATTATTTCTGTTTTCTCGGTAAATATATAATAACAAACATAAAGAGTTTCATTGTCAATTATGAAACCTATTTATTAGTAACGATAATGATTATCCATCTTCATCTGTCTGTCTCTTTTCGAAAGGATGACAAGCACTTTGGACACACCGGGTCAAAATTCTGCTTATAATTTTCTATCATTATTTTTTTCTCTTCGTTTTGTCTCGTTATCTTTCCTCATTCTTTATTCTAATTTCTATCTTTCCTCTTTCTCTAATTATTCTCTCTATCTATCTTCTATTTATTCTTTCTCTCTTCATCTCTCTCTCTCTCTCTCTCGTCTCTCCTCTCTCCTCTCCTTCTCTCTTTCTTCCTTTCTCTCTTTCTCCTCTCGTCTCTCCCTCCTCTCTCTCTCGTCCTTTCTCTCTCTCTCCCCCCCCTCACCTCCTCTCCTCTCCCTCTCTCCTCCGTCCTCTTCTACAATCCCTCCTCACTTCCCTCTTCCTCTCTCTTCTCTCTCTCTTCTCTCTCTTTCTCTCTCTCTCTCTCTCCTCTAAGAAACCGAATTATAATCAACCGATACCAGACAGATAAGACGACTTAATTTTGGAATTGCAAAAAATGATTATCTGGCAAGTAAGATAAGTCCGTTAGTCCATATTGTTTTCTGTTTCATCAGTTTGGCTTTGTTATTAAGATCAAACATTGCAAATCAGAGACAGGAAATTAAAAGGTTTAGGTTGGGCGGTGGTTGAGTGGATGTGGGAGGTGGGTGTGGATGGAATCTGGATCTGGGGGATGGGTAGACCATGGGAGGAGGATGGTGGATGGATAGTAAAGGTGAGTGGCGTCTCTGCGCGGTCTCTCTCTTTCCTCTCTGTCGTCTCGTGAGGTGAAGAGAGCAGATGGAGGGTGAGTGTGGATGAGCGAGTTGGGTTGATCCTCGTGGAGTGGCGAATCGGACATCGGAGCATGGGTACGCATGGCATGATTAGAAGAGGTAGGCTGAATGGAGCTTCGGAATGGCCCTGGGCGAAATGCCTGGAGGGGTTGGGTCCGGCCGAGGACGGCTCCTCTCTACTCTCTATCAGTTCGCCAGACACCGCGGAATCTGGGGAGCGCTGACTCGGATGGGGTGATGGAGTGATTGGGAGGTGAGCCGACCTGAATTCGAATGGCCGTTGACGAGGGTACGTGCCTAATATATTTGGTAGTTCGTCGTGCGACGGGCTGCTCTGGTCTCCTGTGTATTGGTAATCGGAAGGTCGTGCAGTCTCTGTGTGAAAGGCGGTATGTCTCGTCTCTGCTCCTCATCTCTTCTCTCTCCTCTCTCCTCTCTCTGCTCTGCTTCAGTGTCTTTCCCCTCTCCGTCTTCTCCTCTGCTCTCTCTCTCTCTGGACTCTTTGTGCCCCGAAAGGCCCCTCGTCTCTCTGCGTTCTCTCTCGAGATCTCTCTCTCTCTTTTTCATCTCTAAATTACCCTTAAACCTCAAACTCATATCCATCGCCAACAATGTTGACTCCTCAAGCAAGCTCATTTAAGAGAACGAGTATCATGCACGTACCATGCGTTCAGGAGCGATTTTCCTGTTGGTGTAGCCTTAGAGAGGTGATTCATTTTCGTATCTCCAGCTTGATGTCCAATGCTAAGCAAGGTGGCAGGACGAGGGTAATCATTATCATACTGGAAAGAGAAAGGGCGAGTAATGTGGATACATGGTGTGGGTAGGGGAAGATGTGGATAGTGTAACTGTGAAGGGGGGAAAGATGTGGGATATTGTGTAATCTGGGAGGGAAAGCTAACGGATACGTGTGTATTTTTCAAGGGAGGGAAGTGTGGATAATTTTATATTCTGGGAGGGGGGTGTGTGGGGAGATACAGGTCTCAAGTGGAGGGGAGCTGTGGAATACATACGTGTCAGGTGTGCTTGTGTGGATATTTAATGTAAGTCTGGGCAAGGAATTGTGAAAATATATGTATGTCGGGGCAGGAGGGGAACTGTGGATACCACGTATTTCGACGGCAATTGAACGGAGTGTTGAAGTGGCGCGAGAATTAGATAATTATCGGTGATAAAGCTCGATTCCGAGTAGGACCGAGACAGCGGAAAAAGGGATGATCTAGGTCGTACGCATTGAAAGGAGATAACGTAACAGGCCTGGTCCAAGAAGGGCAGGCAGGTCCGAGTGCGGTATGTAGTCATCTGGTTCATTAGGTTTTCGAGATGGAATGGGCAGTAGGTGAAAGGATCAGGAATAAAGGATAAGAAGAGGAAAAGGAGGGGGAAGGAAGAGAAAAAGAGGAGAAAGGATAAGAGGGAAAGAGGAGAGAGAGAGAAAGAAGAGGAAAAGGAGGGGGAGGAAGAGGAGAAAGAAGAGAAAAGAGGAGGAAGAGAGGGAAAGAGAGGAGGAGGAGGAGAAAGAAGAGGAAAAAGAGGAGGGGTGGAGAAAGAAGAGGAAAGGAGGGGGAGGAAGAGGAGAAAGAAGAGAAAAAGAGGAGAAAGAAAAAAGGGAAAGAGAGGAGGAGGAGGAGAAAGAAGAGG